TTGTGTTCGAGAAGCTGCCTATACATCATGCCCCCCCCCCACCCCCCCTGGAAGCAACAACGGTGCTAAAGAACGGTGGTTGGCAATGGAATACGACGTGACCGAAGCAGTTACTCTACATAACGCGTAAACAACAAGCTTTCCCCCAAGCAATTTCGAGTTTTTGCCGAAAGCCCTCGCAAAACCCAATGTCGAGTTCGCAAAGTCCAGAGTACGTTTGGTGACTATATGGTCGGACATCACGAAAGTACTGTAAAACCCGAATAAAACGGCTCTTCTGGAGATGTTGTTCGGGGTGTCTGCACAGCAATGTCGTCATCATCCCCCCTGTCCCCCGACCCCTCCCCCCAAAATGCAAGTCCAGAATCGGAAGCTCGAGTTTGCAAACTCGCAGGTGAATTTTGAAGCGTCATAAGATGTTCCTACATGACGAAAGTGATGTAAATACCGAGTAAAACGGATGTCTGCACGAAGAGTATGTAAGCGGGGTGGTTGGTAGGGGGAGTGGCGCCTACTACTACTACTACTACTACTTCTTCTTCTTGTTCTACTACTTCTAATACAGTACAGTACTATTTGTACTACTACTACTACTACTACTACTAGTAGTACTATGTCCTCAGAAACAGGCTCCGCAGGCTCGGACAGTTTCGGCAGCAAGCGGATCGCCTCGAAGAGCTCCGTGGCAAGATCTGCTGCAGCCTGTGGCTAGACCTAAGAGTAACCTACGAGTAAGAAGGGTGCTGTAGGGGCTCCTTCAAGGGATCTATACGGGTTTAGGGTTTAGGGATCCTAAGAGTAACCTAGGAATAAGAAGGGTGCCCTGTTTGGTTTAAAGATGCTGAAAACGGAAGCTGAACCCTACAAAAAGGGAATAAGGGCTTGCTCTAGGTTCGAGGTGGGTGCTAAGGTTTGCTTACAGGAGCATGGGACTTAGTGACTAGAGGTTCTAACAGAGGTAACTAGACCTATCATTACGTCTGACTCCAATTCAAATCCTTATGACCTTACTTTCTAAATCCCCTGACCCTCTAAGAAAAGGGTTCCTTTAAGGCACCTCCGAATCCCCTCATCCCTCGACCCTCAACCGAGAACCCTAAACTCTACTTCCCCAAGAGCCCCTGCCTCTCCAGAGGGAACCGAACGCAATATAGAGGCCTATACATTCGGGGCCCAACACCCACATAAGCATAAGCATTTTACGGTGATATCCCGTTCTTAGCGGGCTTCACTGTAAGGGGGTTTATATGGGATATCCTTATCCCAATTTTTGCTAATATGCTTTTTGGGGCCCTAGTATACCAAGATTATCCTTCGGGTTCCTTCCTTTAGATATAGCATAATATACCCCAAAGGTTGACGATATAAATCCTGCACTACCTTAAGGACCCTGGACTATGGGAATTATGGCATATTCCTCCTCATGGGTAGTGCAGGATTTATGTCATCAACCGTAGGTGTTATTGGTGGTACTGTAGAATTATCTTTATTCTCGGTATCATTACCATTCAAATTTCGGATATTCTCATCATTTCTGTTGCTACGGCTCTTTTCCAGCATAGTACAGTAAGAGCCAAACCCTAAGCCCTAAACGCCAAATCCCCTAAACCCGGTTGAGAAAACTCCGCTTCCCTCGCGACCTCCTCGAAGGATCGTTCCTGCTGGCCACTCTTGGCGATCTCCTCTTTTCACAGGTTGGTCATAATACTTACATGTGGGTGGTTGTCAAAACCAGGGTCCCTTCTTGGGTACCCTAAATGTTAGGTGCCGTATTATAGTTATAAGGACCCAAAAAGGGACCCTAATGTTGACAACCACCCACATGTAACAATCATGGTACGGTCAGGGTAGTGGTAACAGTAAGAGCAAACGTCATAGAACTGGTCTTGTCGTGGCAAACACCACAGCACAAGCCATAACAATGGTCGCGTTACGCCGAGGTAGATCAGCCTGCTCTCAACCGTCTCGGGGGTTCGTGGTTCAAGGGACATTAAGGCTACTTGAAGGCTCATGGGACTTTGTAAGTAAGGTTATAAGTAGGTTATAATTAGGATAACCCCTTAGGGGACTTACAACCCCAATTATAACCTACGTACTAAGTCAAATGATCCTCCAAGTACAGACATGCCTTCGACTTGCTCGGCCCGGGTATGGTTTCCGGAAGTCTGCTCCCAATACGCAGAGACTGCACAACCAAATGCGGGTCATCCGTAAACACACTCAGATCCCGAAAGATCCGAAATCATCCCGGAAACGAACCGCAAACTCTGAAACAAAACCCCAAAACCCTAGACCTGAAAACCCTGAACCCCCAAAATCACAAAACCCTACCCTACAAGCCCAAAACCCTTAAACCCTAAAACTCTAAGCCCTCAAACCGGGTTTAAACCCCATTAAAACAAACTAAAACCCGTAACCCTTAAACCCTAAACCCTCAACCCCCCCCAAAAAAAAAAAAAATAAATAAAACCCCTTAAACCCTAGAGCCCCACAACTCCTCGAAAGCTCCAGGGCTCACAGAGGACATGGCTTTCGAGGCGAGATCTCGGAGCTCCTGCTGGGGCCGAGCTTACGGCTGTAGGGTTTTAGGGCCTTACGGGTTTAGGGTTTTGGGGCTCCTGCTGGGGCAGAGCTTGCGACGGTTTGGTTTAGGGTTGAGGGCTGTTGGGCTGTGGAGTTTTGGAGTTTTTGGGCTTTAGGGGTTTTAGGGTTTATAGGGGTTTAGGGTTCAGGGTTTTAGGGTCGGATATAGCTTGTGGGGCTTGGGGAAGGGACTCAGCAAGTGCGAAACAAGGACTACAGGGTGTCATAGCGGTGCCTTAGCAATTAGAATAATACTCTTCGGGGTTCCTTCAGAGATAATTATGGCCGCTGTATTGCGCTTGCGTTGCGGTTATCAGACATCCTTGTTACTTGACCTGCCTTTGTGTGGGTCCATGGCGATGGTACAACACTCCTTTTTGCCAGGATGGTGCACTGCGGCTCAGTGACAGTTTAGTATCTTTAGATGTTGGGGGTTTGTAGTTTTGTGGGCCCTCCTGCCCTCCATCACCCTCTATTCTCGCCACTGAGTTTTCTTGGCAGCTTACGGGGCGAGAGGCAAGAGAAGAGATGTGCAGCAGAATCTGTAGGATGGTATCGGGTCAAAGGCTCTTAGAACCTTGCGTATCCAGTACCCTGAGCGAACTACAGCTTCACCTCCGGGCTCATATCGCGACTATAGCTACTCTATTTCGCACCGGAAAGGTTGAAGGTTTCCTATTCCGTTGCTACGGGTACTCTCCTGCCCACTACTATAGGGGCCGTCGTAATCCCAATAGGGTGTTGGGGTATCTTGTGCAATTGTGCTATCTTTAAAAGGAACGCGATGTCATCATTACTGCTTCCACCAGTGTTCTTGTTTTCAACGTTCTCAGGGCCATTTTTTTACAGTTATCGATCTCAGCTTGCCGGCATAAGGCTACCGCTGGCAAATGCAAAACTCTAGGTTTAGGGTTTAGGGGTTTAGGGTTAGGTAGTACATCCTCAAAGCGCCGCAAATGCGACCTTCAAGTTCAAGTTATAGCGTTTAGGATTATATGGACAGTACATCCTGAAAACCGCAAAAGCACAACCTGAAAGTCAATATGATAGGGTCCATTCTGAGTGACTCAAAGCCAACAAAACTGGCACCCTAAGCTCAAAAAACGCTAGAAGCTTGAACGACTGCAAATTGTATCCCGTAGCGTTCCTTTTGGTAACTATCGTATCATAGGCCCGAAGAATACGTATTGAAGCCCCTACAGTGCAGGAGGGCTTCGACGCTTTTGGCATGAAGGGCTGCTGCTCTAGTACCTAAGGTAGCTGAAGGTTAACTTCTGGGATTATGTAGGGATTATAGTATCCCACAAGACTAAAGGCCACCTACTCCCCTACTCAAAGCCCTTATAGAACCCCTTATAGTGCCCCAAAATCCTTTAAAGGTTACCTAGGAGACCCTTATAAAGTCCTTATAGCGCCCCTCTAAGCAGCCCTCACAAAACTCCTTCTGGGACCCTAAAACCATCTAAGACCCTTCCTTTAAAGGCTAGGAAAGGACTCCTGCTCCCAGCCGATCATCCGACACAGAGCCAGGATGCCTGGAAAAAGCACTTCGGATTCGTATTTTGCAGTTCTAGTCTCCATTGAGGCCCTCCTTGGCTTAACCAAACCTATAACTAGGATCCTATACGGTAACCCCAAACAGGAACTACAATGGAGACTCTATGTAGTTTAGGGCCACGAGTCTTGAGGGTCAAGGGCTTCATGGGTTTTCGGTTAGGGTTTAGGGTTTGGGATTTGGGGTTAAGGGCAAGGGTCAGGGTCGAGGGTTCAGGGTTCAGGCTAGATTCAGGGCTTAAGGCCCTTGAGAACCAAAAGGATATCTGCGAGATTGGCTTACTCTGAAGACTTCGGAGACTGTTGCGAGTCTGTATAAACTTTAAAAGGGGGCTTCATAGTCAGAATGGGGTTTTGGGGGGTATCTTACACTGTACAAGTATATGAACTTTAAGGGGACACATTTCCGGCCCCCTATATTTGGAAAACCCTAAACCGTGAACCTTAAACTCTGAACCCTAAGCCCTAAATCCTAGGCAAAGTATCGGAAAGCCCTTGAAGTGAGCTCTCTTCCGCAAGGCACACAACAGAAGCTCTTGCAGCGTATGCTTTTTACGGTTTTGGGGTTTAGGGTTTTCCCATGAGCGCCATCATTACGAAGGGGCTGTTGTTTATCACACTTGTAGTCCATATTCTTCGTAGTGCTGGCATGGAATAATGCTCTGCACAATCGGTGTTGTCAGAAAGCCGTAAAGAACTATACTGAACTTGGAACCCTAACAAAACTTGTAATTTTAGCTGTTTCTTAGGGATTATAATAACCAAAAATGAAAAAAGTATTTCTAAGTACCCCTAAGAGAGGATCAAGACTCGAGCTACTACAGAAGCCCCGCTCAGAACGGCTGCCGACACCTGCGTCGCAGTCATCTGCCATGTGCACGTCCCGATAGTTCCTTACTTCCCCCAATAAGCCACAGAAATAAAGGTAACACTTTCCGGTTTCTACTAAAACCCTAAACCCTAAACCCTATAAGAACCCACAAGGTTTAAAGGTTGGGTACTTGGGAAGTAAGTTTCTCGGCTTCCTCGAAGCGGAAGCCGATGTTGCCGAAGAAGAGAGGGGGATCCTCAAGGCCAGCTGGGGATTTACGGGTTCCTTTAAAGGGGTCTATAAGGGTTACTATAAGGGATCTATAATGGTACTATTATAATGATGCACCCCACACCCTAAACCTTAAACCCCTAAAACCCTAAATGCTGAACCCTAAGGCACTAAAACCTTCAGCCTATACCCTTAACCCCTACCCCCTAAACCCTAAAACCCTAAACCCTGAACCCTAAAGCAATTAAAATCCTAGAGGCCGAAGCGTGACAGACTCCCTTGCCTTAGCAACCTCATCTGGAAGCCGAGAGCTCTGCCCAGAACCCTGCATCGTAAAGTGGATGCCCTGTAAACACGGACTTAGGGACTCCAAATGGGAATTTCAGAAAATTAGGGTCCCTTATTTTGGGGCCCTTATAAAAAGGATCCTACTATTTAGGGTGCCATATTAGGGCCCCCTATTTTCCCAAATCCGAAGCCCGAGCCTGGACCTTATACCCTAGAATAACACAGAAACCCTGTAATAAGGACCCCTAGGTATATACCCTTAGTATAATAGAGCTATTATATACCCAGAATATATAGCCCATTATAGGGTAGGGGTCCCCATTAAGGGTCCCTCCTTTTTCCCCTTTGACTATAATAACACAGAAACCCTATAGTTCCTAAACCCCAAATCCCCCAAACCCTAGTCAAACCTTAGGTGCTGCCCCCCTACAGTAAGAGTCTATAATCGGGCTACTAAGGCCATAATAATATATCTATACTATGGATATTAGTCAACTATTACTGAGTGGGGAATGTACCCAAGTCAAACCACTGAAGCCCTGTAAAAGCATTGCAGATCCCCTACAGGAATCCCCACAAAAAACCCTGAAACTTCAAAGAGCCCTTGAAGGAGCCCTTGAAGGAGCCCTTAAAGGAACCCTTAAAGGAACCCTTAAAAGCGCCCTTGAAAGAACCCTGAAAGAAACAAACTGTTAAACTTAGGGGCGGAGTAACCCAGCCGGAAAAAGGTTCACCTTTTGAATTACAGTAGGATTGTATAAGCCCCAAAAGGTTGAAGGTTACCTACTCAGCCCCTAAGTACAGGACCCCAAACCCAAAACCCTAGAAAGCCTACACCCCTAAACATCTAAGCCTAAACCTCTAAGCCCTAAAACCCTAAACTCCCTAAAGCCCTAAACCCTTGAAAGGAAACCTCCACTTTTCACGCGAGTCGCTTCTTGGTTGTGCAGCCCCACGGGTTCCCGGTTGATGAGGAGCCGCGGGCACAAGGCCGACACTTTGCCCAGAAGCCCAGCAAAGGGCATCACCTGCCACCGTCTTTTCGTAGAGTTTTGGGGGGCTTTTAGGCTTTAGGAGTTCAGGGTTTAGGATTCAAGGGTTTACAGTCCAGGGTGTACAACCGATTTGGATTCTAAGGCAAGCAGAGAAACCGACCTTGAGAGAGGTGCCCAATACCAGCAGCAGATCGCAGGCGCGGCCATCACGCTCGGCCAGGTAGGTAAAGCGTGGTGGCAAGCCCTTCAGGGTACCATGCTTTAGAGGTTTCGACAACGATGGGTTAGGCTAGGGCCAATAGGGTTAACAGGGTGTAAATAGGGTTTGAGGGCTTAGGGCTCTCAGCTTCGACAGAAGATTTACAAGACTTGCGTACGAGAAATGGTGTGAGCAGGTTCGCAACAATTCGAACAAGGGCAGGAATGGAGGGTCTGTGCCCGTCTCAACCAAAGACCCAGGTCTAAAGCCATGACCCTAAACTAAGGCTTGAGACCAAACTTGGATCCCTAAACCCCGGAAACTCGAGATGAATGCCGCCCTAAACCAAGATACCCAAAGCTTGAAGCTCGACTGCAACACGACTGTCAAACTGAATGCCACAGCTGGGCCGGGGGACTTAGTAAGTCGTGTATACGTAGGGTTATAATTGGGGTAACTCTATTTAGGGTACTTATAACTCTACTTATAACCTACTTACTAAGTCTCCTGCCCCTCCAAGCACAGCTGGGCCTCACCGAAAAAGACAATGTCCGGCTTTATGAGGCCCTCGCAGGGGAAAGTCTTGGGGCCTTTCTCCCACTCCTCGCGGGTCGCCCGTCAGTGGGGGCTATATGCCAGGAGCCCCCAAAAGACCCTCTAATAGACCTTATGGTCCTCAATACTCATAATAGAGAGTAGTTGGGGGATCAAGGTAGGGTTCGGGGTTTCGGATTTCAGGGTTTTCTTCCCTAAACCCTAAACCAAGTTTCGGGTTTCGCCTGTTTGTCTTCGGGCTTGATCGGGCATCGCCCTTCGAACACTTTCTTCGGTCAACCTGGTCGATGGAGTAAGGCCCCAAGATTGGGGGATTCCACGTGGAGGGGGGAGGGGTACCGGGAGGATCATGGGACGTAGGAAGAAGCCTACGAAGACAACAAGGAGCCCTTACAGAAGTCTTTACAGGAACCCTTACAGGAACCCTTTTAGAAAGCCTTATAGAATCCTTACCTACCTGATCCTCCTTGTAGAACGCTTACAGAAGCCTGTACAGGAACCCTTACGGAAAGCCTTGCTTACAAAATCCCCTGATCCTCCGAGACCCTACTTGGAGGATCAGGGGACTTAATAAGTAAGGTTATAAGTCCCCTAATTGGGGTTTCTAAGTACCTAGAAGTATAGTTACCTTATTTATAACCCGAACTACTAAATCCCATGATCCTTTTAAGTAGACCCTAAACCATAAACCCCATACATCCCTTCAAGGAGCCCTACAGATCCCTTTAAGGAACCTTTTAAAGTTCCTAAGTCCCATGATCCTTTAAGTATCCTCGTGCTTGGCATCTGCTTCGGCGGCCCACCTCTCCATCTCGGCTAGCTTGGCCTTGAGGTTGGCCTCCTCGTACGGCTGATGGGACAAAATCCTGCATTACCCATTATAAGGAAGATACCATAATTCCCATAGTTTAGAGTCCTTAGGGTCATGCAGGATTTTGTCCATCAGCAGTAGGACTTCTGTACGGGTTCACGGATTATAGGGCTTCGGGCTTGGAGATGATCCTCCAAGTAGACCCTAAGCCCTAAACCCTATAGGTCCCTTTAAGGAGCCCTACAGATCCCTGTAAGGAACCCTATCGAGCTTGGGGGGTTCTGGCTTGGGGGTTTAGGGGTTTCGGCCTTTAGGGGTTTAAGATTTCGGGCTTGGGGGTTTAGGGGCTTTTGGTTTCGGGCCCGGAGAGTTTGAGGCTATATATATATATATATATATATATATATATATATATATATATAGCAAGATATGCTCCGAGTGCCCTTTAGCCCTCGCTTGGGCAGAAACCTTTTCAACGTTAGAAACCCGGAGCTTCAAACACCCTTAAACCGCCCTCCATAAACCCGAAACCCAAACCCCCGAAACCCGAAACTCAAGGGGCTGTAATACATGGTTAGAAGTATCAAAACCCGAGTTAGGATCCCTCTTAGGGTACTTATAGCTCTACTTATAACCTAAGTACTTTAAGACCCTAAACTCTTTTTAGACCCTTAAACCCTTTGAACCTTTAAGAACCCCAAAAACCCTCAACCCCTAAACCCTTAAACCCTTAAACCCTAAACTCCAAAACCCTAAACCCTTCCGAGCCCCTGAAAACTCCACTTAGCCCTTTTTGAGCAGAAGCCGAGGCACCCGGAGGCCGACGGCCGTGAGCTCCGTGAAGTCCGTGGTCTTCCATGCCTTCGGCTTACATCAGCAGCTTAGGGCTTACAGTTTAGGTTTAGGGTTTGGGTTTAGGTTAAGGGTTTAGAGTTTAGGTTTAGGATTTAGGGTTTGAGGTTTAAGGTTTAGGGTTTATACATGGGTTGAGTTTAGGGTTTAGGGTTTTGGGTTTAGGGGCCTATTTATAAGGATCCCTTTTGGGGTCTGCGGCTTCGGGGTTTAGTAGGGCTGAGGGTATACTTTACATGGTAGTGGGTTTCGGGTAAATACGGGGATCTATACTCGGAGGATTAGGGCGCTTAGTAAGTAAGGTTACAAGTACCTTAATCTGGTGTTGACTAGTAGTTGTAATTACAGCACTTATAACTTATAACCCTAGTAACTAAGGGAAATCATCTTCTAAGTAAGGATTCCTGTCAGGGTCATTATAAGTAATTATAAGGGCTCACCCGATAAGGGCTCCTCTGAGGTTGCTACAAGGGTTCAGTCAATGGGCCTTCGCATACCTCAGGTTCATACAAGGGTCGCAATCACCAGAATAGGGTCTATGAGGGTTTCTTTACAGGCTACTACATGGCCACAAGGCTTACTATAGGGGTCTAGTATGCCTTCGGATGGCCCAAGAGCTTACACACTTATATGGGCCTAGCGTTATATGCTTATCTTGTGCGTCCTTTCAACCAAGCCAAGAACACCATGTCCAGCATCCCTTAGAAATTCATTAAGTGCAAGCGAAAATACTTCCGACAAGAGCACTAGAGTTGTAGGCTTCAGATTGTGTTGGGATAACTACCTGCAGTGATTGGGGTTCGGTGCTTGGGATTTAATGTCCCCGATATCAAGAGGCTCATAGACATCATGCTGGCTATCAATGGGTATCAGCTATAGGAATTAGCACGAGAACACGTGGCGCGATAGGAACACGACTAACAAACATCATGCTGGCTATCAGTGAATAGCAGCTGTAGTAACTACAATACAAGACTGGGAGTAAAACATGCACCAGTATCAGTAGAGCAATCATGTTGACTGACGCAGTGTTGACCTTCGGGTTGCTAGATCTAGATGGATTCGCAGGTGCAGCTGCGAGTTCCCGCTGCTTCGTGTTGTGCGCGATGACAGTTCATTTATGAGATGATTAGCAAAAATATAAAACCCTGTAAACTGGCTGTGTAGCCCCCTAATCATCTCATAACAGTTCATGCGCCGATTTTTCTTTCATCGAGCCTTGCTTTGTTAACCACACTCGTCCAGGGGTCGTGCTCGCGGATTGCTCCTTCGGCACCAAAACTTCCGACCCGACTTTTCTGTCCAGATCGGCCAAGTTCTGTTTAATAGACTTCCAAAGAGCCTCTGGGTCCTGATAAGAGACCTCTTTCAGAGCATGTAGCATGTGTCCGCCCTGCCCAACTTCGGAAGCCTCGGTGGTAGCTAACTCTGAAGCAAGCAGTTCCAACTCTTCGGTGCTGTGTGCATGAAAGACACCCATCATCTCGCTGATGCCCAGCTTGAGGGAAGGAAGGGCTTGGGAGCGTTCCTTTGAACGAGCAAAGACATAAACATCCACGTGCCGGACAGGATCTTTGTCCGGCGTTTCTCCTTCGTCGAGCAACGGCTCTTGCAGACGATTGAGAAACCCGATATTGAATGGAGCTCCACCGATCGCATCAAGAGTTACCTTCAGGGCCTGTCCCAGTAGATCCAGTTCCTCTTCTGCTGCACACAGCTGGACACAAAAGACTGGATACTTCAGATATGACACTTCCACACAGCTGTCAGTGAGGTCGTAGATATCGTGCAGAACTGCGGCTTTAGTTGCTGCATAAGAGTCCCATCCATTCGTTTCCTCGACTTCCTCCTTATTCTCATCGTTTGCTGCTGTGATAACTGGAGCCTCCTCCTGATTCAACAAGGAGATAGGTGGGGAAGGCCACGCGTGGCAATGAATGTGGTTCTGACTTGCCCCAGCACCTGCGCTGTTGAAGCCCAAGAACAAAGAACCAGGAGGTTCGATGCTACTCGTCAAATGCACCATATCTTGGCAGTCGGAAGGCTGAAACATCTGGCCCCTGTGGTTCTTCTCGGGATCCGACAGGGTGGGCAAAAGAAGAAAGTGGCCTCGAGTGTCGGCGGGGCTGACATTGTGAAAGATATCCCAGGGCGTGGTCAGGCTGCCGTCTTTGAAAACGGTTGCTACCAGCGGCCGCAATTCCAGTCGCAATGGTCCCGTTACGAAAGAGTCCGTCGTCGAGTCATAGCGAGGTGGAATGGAAGAAGTAGGTTCTGCAAATCCCGGCGACGGAGCTGGCCGCAGAGTTCGGACCAGCTGTAGTTGGGCGGTAAAGTCTCCATTTCTACCAAACTTCACTGAGGCACCCCCGTCAGAAACTTTGGAGAGCATCTCGTTCACACGTCGGACGAGTTCCGACTGAGCTGGAAGCTGCCCCACTGGCGGATCGGATTGCTGAACAAACTCTTCAAAAGAATGCTCTTGCTGCTCTTGCTTGTGGCTCGCACTTTCGGCGACGGCTCGCGTCGTTGCAGCTAGTCGAACGCCATACTCTACGGAAATCTCATGTGACGGATCGTTGTCAGCAGGAAGCGTAACCTTGGCTACCACTTTGTCTGTCTTCACCAAATCAACCCACCTTTGCGACAAGTTGACCGATCCAATGCCATAGGCAGGCTGTCCAAGAACCTTCTCCATTGGCTTCAAACCCCCCGCGAGGAGTGCAGAGGTTCGTTCCTCCAACCTCGCGTCCACAGCTGTATTCACTGTAGCAGCACCCAGACTTCCAAACGGAATTTTCCGGGCATCAAGGGCGGCATCGTGCAACGTCATCCCCAAGCGACATCCTAACAGTATGCCTTTGGGTTATGTATCGGGCTCAAGAACTAAAGGTCGGGATTGCATCAACTTCGGGCTTTCGGGAATATGGCAGTTTCCGAAAATTAGGGGTACCTTTTTGGGGTCCTTTTCGTAAGGATCCTCCTACTTCGGGTATTATACTAGGGTTCCCTATTTTCGGAAACTCCCATATGCATGGGTTTGAGGGTTGTTGGCCACCTGACTGTGCCAGGGCGCCTACAGTTACCGTCGGAGCCTGCAACACCTATAGGGTTTAGGGTTTAAAGTTTAGGGCTGAGGGTTTAGGGGTTTAGGGTTTAGGGTTAACGGTGCAGGGTTCCTGTCTCCCCCCCAAAATCCGCAGGAAAACGGTCAACTTTCAGATTGCTACCGAACTGTAAACCCGAAAAGCTCTAAATTTTGGCCATTTTAGAACTAAGCTTCTGGTGCTCGCTTTCAGGTACAGGCTCTGGGATGTAGATTGGGCTTTCAGAGAGAAGCGCTGGTCTTCTGTCGAGGAGTCTTTGGTTTAGGGCTTCTATAGGCTTATAGAGCTTTAGGTTTATAGTTCTAGGGCTATATGTTTATCTATACCCCGCGTAGAACCATAATACAAACAATACGAATAGACTATTGTTGATACTCTCTTGGGGCTTATATGAACAAAACACAATTCCTAAGGAGACTATAGTTATGGAGTTCAAGCATCTGAGGGGCCACTGGTTTGAAATGAAGGGCTTCTCGGGTTCTTTTTCTGCAGCGGGCTCAGACTGACGACTGCGTAGCATCTTGCTTGAGCCGTTCCACGCTCAGCGCAGTTTGCAACAGAGATATGCCCAAGATTGCCGTCGACCTCGGGAATAGATCTCCTATGACCTGAACCTCGGGGTCGTGCAAACCCTACGCTGCACTGCAATTATCTCCATGACCGAGCTGTTTTCCAAGAAGGCCCAGCCTCTGCCCGCAACGCCGGCAAGGTCTCGAGCTCTTTCCGGACCTGCATGGTGCATTTTGGGACCGGGAGGCCAGTCAACACAAACGGTGTCGGGCAGTAGGGTACAGGTTTCCTCAAGCGGATAAACACCTCGGGTTCAGCGACTCTTGGCCAAAAACGGGGGAGCATGATGCGAACGTCATGGTAGAGGAGGTCAATCTCAAAGCTAGTCCGCAGCTCAACACTGGTGCCTTTGAGATTGAAATCAAAGCCTGGCAGGCTTGTACAAGCAAAATTGGGGACCTTGACAATAAGAACAAGGGTCCTCTGAAGGGTTCCTTTAAGAGATTTAGGCCCCTACAGTATATTGCGGGCAGTAATTAACATTGCTGTTGTTGTCATTACGACTCTCAGCAACAAAGCTACCAGTACCGCATGTACCAATTACAAGGACTGCTTTACTCGTCAGGAATACCGTGCTGTTCATGATCTCTCAGGATTCCAGCGCTTTGCAGCCCAAACCGTGTCACACCACAACACACCCTCGCAAGGCTTCATTGCCGTTGAATCTTGGGGATTGGGGGTTTATCGCCGAAGGCCAAGGACTCAAACTCAGTCAGTGTTCCCCCACACCGAAATGGAAAAGTCCTGCCTCCTCCATCTCGGTCTCCGTCGGCTTCGCAGCCGGCTTCGGTATGGCCCTCACAGAACCACAGCGCGGCAATTCGCCGCGCTCCTTTGCCAGGGTTTTTGGTCAGGGTTTTGGATTTAGGGCATATTTTCTTAATGGTTCAGGGTTTAGGGCAAGGTTTTGTGTTCAGCGTTTAGGGTTTGGGGCTTGAGAGCGAACAAGTTCAATTCACTTCTTGAGCGAACATAGGTGGTGGTTGAATGCTGTCAACTGTAACTGTAGCACCGTCTTTACGCATGCCGGCCCGACATACACCATTGAAATGAAGCGAAAACTCTTTCGCGTCACACCTCAATAGTGGCACAAGCCGGCCTCGTGAATGGAAACATCACCGGTCTGTGTTGAAGCTTTAGTCTCTTCGTTTGCTGCTTCAGCCGTTTCTGTCGTAGCATCATACTATCGTGCAACGAAGTATACGATAGCATATTGTAGTATGTATATTGTGGTATGTTATAGTTTAATATACTTTATTGCAGTCATGCCTCAAGCACCTGTAAACTTCAGGATCTGCGTATTGACGCGTCCACTAGATTATCAGGCCCGCTCGAGCTCCCCAGAAGAATTTCGTTGTTCACGCCCTTGACCCAGCAACGAACAGAAGCAAAGACTGTTATCGTATCGTAGATAGTATAGTGTAGCGCATAGTCTAGCATAATAATAGTAGTATAGTATATTCTACTACACAAAGTGTATCGCATTATGCGAAGAAGAAGCATGTACAGTTGAATGTCTTTGGAAAAGACCGAGGCTCGATACAGTCGCGCCAGCGAAGAACGTCGTGCTGCTGGCGGCACTCCACGCAGTGGGCATTGGCAAAGGATCCGTGGGCTTCCACCAGCAGCTCTGGGGAGATGCCACAAACACGCTCCAGGCCATCTATGTTCTGAGTGAACCTGCCAGCCCAGGACTCAGCGGCTGGTTCTGCACGTCAAAGCCTCCTAGTCCTTGCCGTCCTAGCCTTAGCACTATTGCGTTAACTAATACAAGGCTCACAAGTGCTATTCAGATCCCAATGCAACAAGCAGTCGAGCTGCTGATCTGGGGAGCTTCCGAAAATAGGGGACCCTCATATACTGCCCGAAAATGGTGAGATCTTGATTTTAAGGACCCGACCCCAAGATAAGGTAGTCCTAATTTTCGGAAACCCCAACATCGACTCCGAACCCTAAACTCGAACCCCTACAGTAAACCCCATAAAGTTGGAAACCGGATTAAGGCTTCCCTATCTAGAGGATCATGGGACTTAGTAAGTAGGTTATAATGGCGGTTATAAGTCCCCTAAGTGGGGTTATCCTGATCATAACCTACTTATAACCTTACTTACTAAGTCCCATGAGCCTTCAAGTATGTATGACTCTTCAGGACTGAGGCTATTGGGTTTCCAACTGTTGGGTTTCTTCTGTAAATCGACTCCAAGCCACAGCCTTTGTAGTAGTCCCTTTTCTTCCAGCAGGCGAATGAAGCAGTGAGTCAGTGTGGGCAGATACTTCCCCGGCAGCAACTCCTGCAGCAAAGGGGTTTAGTAGGGTTTAGGGTCTAGGGTGCAGGGCAATCAACCGGTTGGAATCAAATTTCTATGAAAACTTTGCAGCCGATCGTAACTCTACGGCTCTCAGGCTTATGAGAGTAAGCAAACTCAACGGGCACAGTTTGGAATGACAACATTACCACTGCAGATATCGCGACCGTCTTAGTCAACCTTTTGCGAAGCCTCATACTTGCGTTTCTAAGCGGAATTCTCATGCCGAAACCCTTTCCTCTAAACCAGGTGGGACTTAACAGCCTCTTAACAACACTCGTAAGTAGGATCCCCTCAGGCAACATATCAGGGAAAACTTCAAACTATACCAAAGGCCTACCTAGTAAACACTCAACCCCCAAACCCGGAACCCTAACCGTGAGACCCCAAAACCCTAAGCCCTAAAACCCTAAACCCTAAACGACTAAACCATAAACCCTCAACGACTAAACTCTAGACCCTAAACGACTAAACGACTAAACCCTAATAAAAGGTTGCGGCGTCAACCGCGACCGCGCGGCGACAGCGCATTGAGGGTTTCACCGTGTTTAGGGAAATGTTGTGTTTTCGGCATTTTTGCGCATTTGTGTTTGGAAGTGTGCGGAGCCACTAGTCAAAAGTGTCGTTTTTTCCACGACTTTGAAGACCAATGTGTAGAAAACACTGGCTGGCGCGGCATTTTCGCAACACACTGTTCGAGCACCTTGAAGTGAAAACTTTTTCAGGCTGATTTTTTTGTGATTTGTCCTGTTGTTGTTGTGGTGGTGGTGGCGGCGGCGGCGGCGGTGGTGGTGGTGGTTGTGGTAGTGCTGGTGGTGGTGGTGGTGGTGGTGGTGGTGGTGGTGGTGGTGGTGGTGGTGGTGGTGGTGGTGGTGGTGGTGGTCGAGGTGGTGGTGGTCGAGGTTCGTTGTTCTTCTTGTTGTTGCTGCTCTTCTTCTTGTTGCTTTGAGCTTGAAGGCTTCACAGATGTCTGTGGTTGTTGTTACGAGCTTCAGGGCTTCACGCAACTCTAGGAGACTTGTTTACCGCGCTTTGCTCGCTTTGTGTGCCAAAGCTCCTAGGGCAGACCAGAGGTCGGGACCGTTGTTACGGCGAAACTCGAAACTAAGCACGTAGTCAAAGATCCTGGGATTAAAGGGCAGCAGGCATCAGCAGTAGTAGAGCTAGTCTGAACATAAAGCACTGAAGGGCAGCAGGCATCAGCAGTAGGAGAGGTAGTCTGAAAATAAAGCACTAAAGGGCAGCAGGCATCAGCAGTAGCAGAACTGCTAAGAGTAGAACAGGTTCGTCATTAAGCCCCCCCCCACCCCCCCCCACCCCCCCAAACCTAAAGGGCAGCAGGCATCAGCAGTAGGAGAGCTAGTCTGAACATAAAGCACTAAAGAGAACTGCTGCGAGTAGAACAGGCTCAGTAGGAGAGCTAGTCTGAACATAAAGCACTAAAGAGAACTGCTAAGAGTAGAACAGGTTCGTCATTAAGCCCCCCCCACCTCCACCCCCCACCCCCCGAAGCCTGAAAACATGCAAAAACCTGCAAAAACCCTGCGGTCACCCCTAACGCCGCATGCTAAAACCTAAAGCCTACACCCTCAACTCCGAATACCATTGATTGGAGGCCAAAAAGGGGGGTTTAAGATTCTCGGGGTAGGGATTCCTTAATATGAACCCTATATTGGAACCCTAATCCCTGCTAAGCCCCAATAGGCCAAAACCTCCTTTTGGCCTCCTATGATACCCTTATAGATCCCTTTAAAGGAACCCCTATGGATCCCTTTAAAGGAGCCCTAGGGATCCCTAAGCCCCTTTTGGCCTCCTATGAACCATGACTTCCCAAGGCGCGCCTTGGCGAGGTCGCAGAACGGCTGCGGCTTCTCCTTGAAATATTCCAGCGTGAAAACCTGGGTTCTTAAGGAACATAATAAGGAAACCGTATTATGTAAGGAACTATAGGGGCTCCTTTAAGGGATCTATAAGGGTTCCTTTAAGGTTATAAGAATTTAGTTTAAGTTACCACATTAAGGAAACCATAGGTTATTTGCTATAGATCCCTATTCTGGTAAGCCTAAACCCTAAACCCTGACAGATCCCTTAAAAGAGCCCGTATACATCCCTCAACTTAAGCATCCCTATTATGGCATCTTAAACTAACATCCTCAACCAGAACCCAGAACTTACCTTTGGTTAGTAGGGAATGGAGGAATGGGATAGAATTATAGCTGCTATTCCTACCATTCTTCCATTCCCTACGAACCAAAGGTAAGAGAAACAGACTCTAGGGTATTATGGTAAGCCTAAACCCTGAACCCTCAAAGATCCCTCAATGTAAGGACACCTATTATGGTATCTTACAATAGAAGCCAAAAAGTTGGAAACCCCATAGCCTGAATCCTTAAGAGTAATGTATAGGGAATCCCAGCACTATTTGGCCTTAATCCGGTTTCCAACATTATGGGGTTTGCTGTAAACTAAAATCCTCCACCAGAGCCCAGGAACCGACTCCTTTTTGGTTTAAAGGGGGTTACCAGGGAACCTAAACCCTAAATAAAAAAGGTAATACGGGCCTATACTCTGGGTCCTAGGAAGTTAAAACCCTCCACCAGAACCCAGAAGCCTTTAGAGGATCCCTATGATGGTATCTTAAACTAAAAATCCTCCACCAGAGCCCAGAAACCGATTCCGGGGTCGGCAGATGATACTTCTCCAAGTTGTCGTAGAGGCCGGTCCCTGTGGGTTTTAGGTGTGTAGGTTTTGGGGGTTTTAAGAGGAACCCTAGTTTTTGGGATTCAGAGTTTAGGGATTTAGGGGTTGAGGTGTTTAGGGTTTTAAAGGTTTTGGGGGTTTAGGGTTTGAGGGTTGACGGTTTAGGGTTTTGGGATTTGGGGGTTTTGGAGGTTTTAGGGTTTTGGGGGTTTAGGGTTTACAGCAGTAAACCCCATAAAGTTGGAAACCGGATTAAGGCCAAATAGTGCTGGCATTCCCTATACAGTACTCTTAGGCGTCGAGGCTATGGGGTTTCCAACTTTGGGCTTCTACTGTAGGGGTTTAGGGGTTTAGAGTTTTAGGTCTTTAGGGGTTTAGGGTTTAGGGTTTTGGGATATAGAGTTTTAGGGATTGGGGGTTTAGGGTTTAGGGGTTTAGGGGTTTGGGGGCTTAGGGTCTTAGGGGTTTAGCGCTTGAACCTAGATCTTCCAGAATCCTTTAATTCAGGAATAGACCTTAAATCGTCTCAGGGATCCTACTAGAATGAAAGTATATTCCTTAATTAGGGGAGTTGGGAAGGTCTGGCTTAATCTCAAAAGACTGCCTCCACCCTGAACTCCAAACAGAGTCCTGTAACCCCCCCCGGCCGAAATACACGTGAGAAGACTCCCATGTGGGTAGGCAGGAACCGACCCTACCTGTGTGCGGAAGCCTGGTCCCAAACCCCAGCAAGAGAACGCCGAATCCCTCATTCATCCAAGCTTCGCCTTCGGGGCCAAAATCCGAAACCCTGTGCTTAAGTAATGTTTTAGGGTTCAGGGCTCAGGGTTTAGGGTTTAGGGTTCAGGGTTCAGGGTTCAGGGTTCAGGGTTCAGGGTTTAGGGTTTAGGGTAGGGTTTAGGGTTTAGAGTAGGGTTTAGGGTTTAGGGCCTTGGAAGTCCCTGTTCTAATTACCTCTAAACTCCAGTCTAGTCATGAAGGCCCCTACTTGGAGGATCACAGGGCTTAGCAAGTAAGGCATTTGGGGGATCTCTAAGCGACTATGAGTATAGTTACGTGAATTTATAACCCCTAGTGACTAAGTCCCATGATCCTTTAGCCAACCTTAATGAGTACTAATTATAGGGTTGTTTGCCAGGGTCGCCTTTTTAAAGGGTACTGCAGGGTTCTATGATAGGATCCACTTTAAGGGTTCTTCTGTGCCTGGAGTCCGGAAGTCCGGAATCCCCGCGGCCACAGAAATGCCAGCTCCAGCAGCCACCTGCACGCAGTCTAAACCCTGCAAACCTTAACTAGGATACCCAGTAACCTAAGAATACAAAGGCCTCTCTTTTTGGTATTGGGTAACTTTAAAAGGAACCTAGGACTACAAAAAGGGAATAAGGGTACTACTGGGCATCCTAGTTGATCACAAACCTCACAGACCCTAAATCCTAAATCCCACACCCTAAATCCTGAGCATAAATCCTGAACCCTAAACCTTAAATCCTAAATCCCAAACCGGCATCCTACGCACTGAACCCAAACCCTAAATCCTTAACCCTAAACCCTAGAGGGTTCAGGGTTTAGACTGCGCATTCTAGGCAAGAGCTTCATCGCTTTAAGGCTTCATTCTGGGAAGGAAGACCTTAGGGTCGTGTGAGGGTCTCTGGGTCAACGGCTCCAGGACTTTACGGCTTTTAGGAATTTAGTGTGACCTTCAGAACTTCGTAGAATACGGAGCCTTCAACTTCAGGGCCGTTTGTCAAAGTCCCAAATCTCTGGAAGCCTGACCCCCACTTGTCCCTGAACCTACAGTAAACCCCAAAAAGTTGGAAACCGGATTAAGACCAAATCGTGCTGGGATTCCTCATACATTACGCTTAAGGATTGAGGCTATGGGGTTTCCAGCTTTTGGGCTTCTACTGTATCGCAAGCTGCGACCCAGGTCCCGAGACTGCCAAGCTGTAAGTGGGTAAGTCCGACATCTAAGCTTAGAAGTATGGGCCCCTACGGTTGATGATATAAATCCTGCATTACCTTAAGGACCCTAAACTGTGGGAATTATGGTATAGTCCTTACTATGGGTAATGCAGGATTTATATCATCAACAGTAATATGGACCCTGAGGCCTTTTGGAGGGAGTTCTAGGGACCCTTAAGAGTCTATATGGGGTCGGGGGTTGGGTATAATCTCAACCCTCAACACCAGATCCGTTACAACCCTGAACGACGATCACCAAAACACAGGAATATTAGGGCCTGGAGAAATACCACATGTATTCCAAAGGGCAAACAAATGGTATGATATACGCAAACCATGTTTTAACGATTAAGGCCACGAGACTAAACCCTTACAGTAACCCTTAAAGTATACAACCCACAGGTAAGACTCCTGGAAGGGAGCCCTATTCTAACCATTATGGCCCCTACATTACATGCAGCCGGTGCCACCAGCACATGCCGGACGCGGCCATCCCTCAGCAATGCTGCGATGGCCTCCAAAAAGCAGGGTTTGGGGTTTTCGGGATTTATGGCTTTAAGGTTTCGGCTTTAGGGTTTGGGGTTTAGGGGGAAGTTGGAGGGCTTAGAGCTACCTTTGCGCTTGGGCTTGAGGTTGTGTCAAAGGCAATGCTCCGGCTCCCACGCATCACATGGTTGCTGAGCTCAGTACCCCTTTCAGGTCAGTGTAAACTTTCAGTTCTGGAAGGGGTAAAATGGTCCCCAAGAGTGTACAGTCTACTCATTCAGCTACTAAGGTCAAGACTTTATGCATGCCCTTCAACCAACAGATGTCATTCAAACATCTAAGGTATGCCTAGAACTCCCATCTACCTCTACCCCCCGTTGGACCCTAAACCCTACACCCGAAACCCTAAACCCGAAACCCTAAATCCTTCTTTTAAACCCGAAACCGTAAACCCGAAACCCTAAACCCCTACCTGACAATGTCGGTGGAGGCTTAGGCCTTTGAAGATTTAGAGCTTAGAGGGTTGAGGGTTTAGGATTTAGGACGCAAAAGGCTCAAAAGCGAAGAGCACGTGAAGTTACAACTACAAGCCCAGCAGTTTCGAACTTGCACCCTGAACCCTCAACCCTTAAACCATAAACCGGCTTAACCAAAGCTCAATTGTCGGTCTCGAACTAATGCCTCGACCCAGATAGAAAACAGTAGCAAACAGCGTCCTGATCCTTCACACAGGCCTACCTGGCCCCGAAGAAACCTACCTCTTTTAGGTTCCTTATAATGATTTCCCTATATAAGTCCTTAACAAAATAGGATATTTGGAGTTAGAGTAGATTCTGGCTTCCTTAAACCCCCATGCTCGCGGGACCGGGCCTGTGGGTGCAACCGCTGGTCTGCGCTTTGGTGCGCCAACACTAGACCTAAGAGTAACCTGGGGAATAACAAAGGGTGCCCGTTTTGGTTTAAAGGGAGTTATAAGGGAACCTAAACCCTAAAAGAAGGAATCAGGGCCTACTCTGGGTCCTAGAACAAAAATGCGAAAAGTTGTTGCGAATTTTGAGGCTGGTGTTGCCATTGAACCGAACCCTTTACTCCTAAACCCTAAACCCTAAACTCATGGTCCGCAAGGCATTCTTCAGCCTACGAGGCAGCTCATCATTCTGACTCTGACTCCTGAGCTCGTTCTCCATAGTCTCAAACCTCATCTGCCACTCCACTGAGTTTTGCAGGTCAGGAACGAGAGTGTGACGCTTGGAGACTACACTCCCCCAGAATGTCTTGCAACGCTTTTCCAGCGTCAGCGGCATTGACGCTCTGCGAATCTGATACGCCCGATCCGGCAGGGCAGAACACATGTTCGGGAATATCTGACTCTCCATGATCAGCGCGGCCTTCCGCATAGACGTGGCACCATCCGTGGCCACCGATGTCACCTTCTTGTAGAGTGCATCAATGACACTCTAGTCAGTCTCTGACGCCAGGGGAGTTGCCAAGCGGAATAGGACACTTGCCGGTTTGGAAATGCTCACTTTGCTGCAGTTAATGCTTGGGGATCCTCCGGCTCAACAGGTTAGGGTTTAGGGTTTGGGCTGATTTCCTCCAACCCACCTGATCCTACTGACTCTCCACCCCTATCTTTCCCTTTAAACACCCTAAAACCCCAAAGGCTCCATGTACCTTTATTGGACATACTTAATCCTTAAAGGAGTCCGTATATGGGTACTTTAAGGCCTAAGTATATACTATACTAGGGTACATGGAGCCTTAGGGAACCTCTTGGTTCAAGCGCAAGCTCCGAGAAACGCCAGCCCATGGTGGCCTCAGGTCTGGCTGAGCCAAGCACTGCCTGACAGAGTCAAGAACCGGCCCTCATTGCCTAAGCCCCAAACGGTTTAGGGTTTAGGGTTTAGGGTTAATTTAACCCTAAACCCTCAACCCTGAACCCTAAGCCCCCAAACCCCTAAACCCCAAAAAGCTAAACCTTTAGACCCTGAAGCAAAAGGGTCGGCCAAAACGCTAAGGCCAAAGCCTTCGACTAAATGGCTCGGCTTCGCAGACTTTAGGGCAGGAACATGGGGCAGTTTTCCAATCTGGCGTCCTCTTTTGAAAGCCCAAAGAACCCATAGGCTCCCCTTGTTGGGCTTACCTTATAGGGTTCTATATGTGAAAAGGAACTATATACTATGGAGCCTCTAGGAAAACAGCACCCCTATAAAAGGAGCCGAGCTTTTTGAGAAGGGACCTCAAATAAGAACTACCCATATGAAGCCCAGAGCAACTCTTTAAGATAGGGGAGCTGTTTCGAAGAATCACAGAGGAGAGCCAGCAAAGCCATCACAGCCCCCTAATAGAATCACTGATATCGGGTCCCTTTATATGTATAGTATCGATAAGCGGACACAATACCATTATTCTCTGTCAGGCCCCTTGACTACGCGTGCTGACCAAACAAGCCCTGAACGAGAGCTAGAGACCCACAGGGATCACCCGAAGGCCTCAAACACCAAGCGCAGGTGCTGAACGAGAGACTTGCACAGCCCATTTGCAAAAAAACAGGTTTGTACAGCCCATGTTTGAACCCGAAGTTACTGAGCATCCATTGATTGCAACGGTAAGGTTGTATGAAAGGTTGTAAGTGCACTGGGTCATGACCTAACCCAACGAACGACTTGTCTCCACCACGCTCCACGAAGGCCTGACTGAATCCCAACCCTAAGAACAACACTAAACCCTCACCCTAAACCCAATACCCAAAACCCTGAACACTGAAACCCTACAACCCTAAGTCAAAATCCTAAAACCCTAACTCAAAACCCAAAACCCTAACTCAAAACCCTAAAACCGAAGGCCTTCCGTGCTGCTTCGGGTAGCTCGCCGGGCTCGGGGACACTTGCTGCACCGCCCATGGGAGAAGTCGGATCTCTAAACCGTATACTATCGGGTTTAGGGTTTAGGGGTCTAGGGTTCGAACTTAGGGGGTTTAGGGTTTCGGTATTTCGCTTCGATTTCTTGAAGATTTACTAGCATTCTGCAGGGGTTATTTTAAAGTTTATTCAGCCTGCATTTCGCCTATAGAACCGACACCCATCATTCGAAGAGCTTCTTTTCTTAGGCCCGGCTTGTGTTTAGAATATGTATGTACATGAGGTGTCTTGCTGTGTGTATGTGTACATGTGTATGTATATATGTATATGTATATATATATATATAATATATATATATACATATATAATATATATATATATATATATATATATATATAATATATATATATATATATATATATATATATATATATATATATATGTATATGTATATGTATATGTATATGTATATGTGTTTGTATATGCATATGTCTATGTATATGTATATGTGTATGTGTGTATATATATATATATATATATAGTTGGCTAGGTGCTCAAGCTTCGTTCGAGGCTGAGATTTGAGGGTTTCATGCACGTCTGTCGGTTGCTGAGTCCGAGGCGGTTTGAGCTCAGGTGCGACGTCGGCGGTAGTGATTTTTATCATGGAGTACGGTTTAGGGTTTTGGGTTTAGGGCCTAGGGTTTAGGGAATCATGGAGTGCTACGAGTACGATAGAAGGCTATAAGGCCGATATTGTCTTACACGGATACAGGTCGAATGCCCTGGGCCCTGACGCCTGCACCCAAACAACATGCCAACTTGCTCGATCGGCACAAGCACTCCACTCACCGAGACCATCCAGTCATGCCAGTATCCACGAGCGACCTGCTAGCTGCAACCGAACACATAACCCATTCCATGCCCTCACACTATACCCTAAGCCCTAAACCCCCAAAACCTAAACCCTAACCCCTAAACCCCAAAATCCTGAACCCCAAACCCCTAAAACTCCAAACCCCAAACCCGCACCCTTGAACCCCAAAGCCCTAACCTCCAAACCCCAAACCCTAAGCCCTGCACCCTAACCCGACACGATGTCCAAAACGGCTCGACAGGTGACGAACGACGAGATCCCACTCGGTTTTCCGTCTCGGCGACTGATAAGGAAGTGCATGGACAGGGCTTGTATGGGTTGAGGGTTCAAGGTTTGGGGTTTTATCCGGCTTATGGCTTACAGGGCTTATTTTAGGGTTCAGGGTTTCGGGTTTAGGGACTCGGCTTCTAGCTAGGAGGAAGCCGAGGTGGCGAGAATGTTGCTCGAAACGAACATGCGCCTCAATATTCGGAACAAAGATCGCGCTGATAATCAACCCCACGGACGGCAAATTGCAGGATTGCTGCCCTCCGAAGCGCATCCTAACTCGAAATCCCAAAAGCAATTCGAAGGACCAAGCGGACAAATCCTGCATCCCAAAAGCTGCTAGAACTGTTGGATGCGTATGAACCCAGTAGGCACCTACACATTCGTACAAGTCTTATAAACTCCTTCCGCACGCCTGAAATCACGACTAATCTCGGCAGCTGTAACCGTCCAGTCTCGCCAGCCGAAACTTTACACCCTGAAGTCCTGAACCCTCATAGCCCTGAAAACAAACTCGCAGTCCTCTCCCTGGCTCTTAGTAGGGAATGGGGGAATGGATTATAGAGACGGGATAATAGAGGGACTACTATAGGGATCCATGCCCCCATTCCCTACTCAGAACCAGACATTCTTGTTAAATGTGCGGAAACCATTTTAGAACCTCAGAGGCTCCAGCAGCCCGAGAGCGCTTCTACAAAGCTTTCATGTAAAGCCAGAAAGCACCCTAATATGATATCCTGCCTAACTGCCCAGAGGCTCTTTGTGACCCATATTGTATTTAGAATCCAATAAGCTAATCCTCAAAAAAGAACTACTATGGAGCCTATGGCCAACGACGGAAGGCTCCTGAGTGGGCTCTGGCATTTGGTTTGCGCAAAGTCCCAGCGCTTCCTCAACAAGCTTCGCAGCTTCAACAGGGGTTTCGCGATCTCTTTACAGAGATGTATGGGTGTTATTGCTTCATACACGTTTTTAGGTGGCTTTACAGGGATATGCGGGATTTCGAGAGTTAGCGAACCTTTAGTCTTTAACAGGCGGGTTGAATAGCTAACCTTTTGAGCTTTAACAGTTTGTGTACAGGGTCTTTGCTGCTCTCTACGATATGGGCTTTCCCGGAAATAGGGGACCTTAATATAGTACCCTAAATAATAGGATCCTTACTATAAGGATCCCAAACTAAGGTACCCCTAATTTTCGGAAACTCCCATATATGTCTATTCACCTTACAGTGGTTTTACGTCTTGTCGATCTGCCAATTTGAAAGACGGGAAACCGATTGGCCTCATCCCTTCGTCGTCCATCTATAGACCCTGGGGTTCCTTTAAAGGGAGCTATAAGGATACCTTCTCGGGGTTCCTTTAAGGGATCTATAGAGTCTTGGGATTATGTTACGAATCCTGCATTACCTTAAGGAACCTAAACTATGAGAATTATGGTCTATTCCTTATTATGGGTAATGCAGGATTTATATCATCAACCGTTATGCGGCTTGGGGCGTAATCTAGGGGCCTTAACAATTAGGGTAGGGTCTTGGTGCCCATTACACTGTAATTATAATGAGGACCCCCCCTTCCCCCCTCCAAAAAAAATAGTACATGTAATTATGCAGGCCCCTATAGTAGAGGGTTTCGGGTTTAGGGCAAAATGAATCTTCACACACTGGCAGGATCGCCAGCAAGCTTGAAGGCTTTGCGGTTTATGTCTTCGAAGGCCGTGAAGTCAGGACCGATACCTGAACTCTGGACCCAACAGCAAAGTTCTGTTCTGAAACGCCCTCTTCCTCCCTCTCTAAAAGACCCAATTCCCATAGGCTGCATAGTAATTAATTCCTTTTTGGGAGTACGTTAAACTAGAAGATTCTAAATACGAACCACAAAAAGGAACTACTCTGGAGCCTCTACCTGCTGCCAAGACACGAAGACGGGATCTGCAGACTGCGCCATCAGCAATTCGTCTCTCGGGGGGGGCGGCCCTGGATAGGTCCAAAACTGCTGTTTAGGGTTTTACGGTGTTGAGGAAGTTTAGGGCTTTAGGGTTTAGGAAGTTGAGGGTTTTAGGTTTTAGGCTTTTAAGGTTTAGGAAGTTTAGGGTTCTCGGCTTTAGACAGCTGCAAGGTCGGGCACGAACCTGACCCTGAGTCTCATGCACCCTAAACCCACAGCGAAAGCGCTGCCGGGTTGGTTGGTTTGGGGGCTTAGGGTTTAGGTTTTTTTGGGACTTGCTGGTTTGGGCTTAAGGAGTTTCGGCTAACTAGTTTGGGCATCGACATGAGAGGGCATCGGATCCAATGCCCCAGGATGGTGCCGGGATGTTCTTGGGATGAGGGCTTGGCGCCTCCTAGATGAGAAAGACTGGCCAAAAAAGAACCGACATCGTGAAGAAACTGTTTGCAGAAGCCATACTAAGGAACCCTACAAACAAAATACAGTGGCCTCAATAATTACCAATACTATTTTGCTGGTTCTTTATTCTATGTACAGTATGCTGAACCCCACAACCCTATTGTGACCATGTAGGTCCCGTATATATAGAGCATTATCCCTTTAAAGGAAACCCCTTATACGGATCCCTTTAAAGGAACCCGTAGTCTGATTATTCAGACCTCCAGTATGGAGGCCCCAACGTTTGGTTTTGTAGAGCCTCAGGAAGTCAAGGCTTCGATGGGTTTAGGGTTTAGAGGTTTAGGGCTTTAGGGTTTAGTTTAGGGCTTCGGGCTTAGGGTTTAAGTGGGTTTGGGGTTTGAGGGATTTAGGGTCTAGGGAGGAGTGGATTTAGGGTTTAGTTTCGGGGCAGGAGATGCTACTAAGACTGGCATCGAGAGCTGCGGGAATAGTATTGCTAAACTACAGCTGATTACAGCAAGGACTATAACTCTGATAGGGAACCCCAGATTAGCATGAGCTAGAGCTATAACGGTGAGGACTACAACTGTAAAAAGGAGCCCCAGAGTACGTAGTATTACCATACTATAACTATAACCAGGAATCGTGGATGCGGCCAGCCTGGACACTAAGGATACGGGTACTGTAAGGGTACTATAATATAGGGTACTTTCAGGGTACTATTAGGGTACTATAACATAGGGTACTTTCAGGGTATAATATTGGGGTACTATAATATAGGGTGCTATAAGGGTCTACTATTAGGGTACTATAATATAGGGTACTATAAGGGTACCCTCCCAGCCTGGACACGAAGGTTGCGTCGAAAGCAGGCCCCGGTGACTTCGGAGAGCTGATGATCAAGGATGCTGCGGAAGGGTGTGAGTCCACCAAACCATGCAAGATATTAGGGCCCCCCCCAACTAGTTCATTGTTGGGATAGGACTAAAAATGCACATTTTTATTCCATAAAAAATTGAAATGTTACCCAACTGCGACAAAGCCAAAAGCACAAGCAAAAATGAAGATAGGGACATCCCATATAACCCCCCTGATAATGAAGCCCAATAAGGTAGGGATTCTGGCCCATGAAATGCTTATGCTTATGTCCTTCTTGGGTCCTTAAGATGGAGTGTTCCCCAGGAGAAAGGCGGTGCGACACTTTCCGTGATCGAAGTCACATTGCCGGTATGAAACGAGCGACGTGAGAAATAGCACTGAAGCTCCCAGGACTCTCAAGCTCTCATCAAGTTTCTACTGCTCCTCTTCGCAAAAAGCGCTGCTGTTGAATCGGTTCATGGTGAGGACTCTGACAGCCAAGGCTAAGGTGGCTCAGAGGTAGTCTAGGTTCCGCCGACATAGAAAACTGATCTGTGCCAAGCAGCACAATGAGGGGTGGTCTGGATGATAATCATTACCGACATCAGGAGCATCATCAGCCATCATCATCATCATCATCAATGTGATGACTGCCATATACCACCATGATGGTGATGATGACTGTTGAGATGATAAGTTTGCGCGGGCACTGGTAGCCGTTTCGCACAGAAGTAGCCCTGACCGCATTTTGCGAGCCAGAACTGCTTAAGAACGTGCACAATCCTTGTTATGAAAAATTTTATGCCATGCAAATGATACAAAACTGCACAGAACTATATATCCTGATCCTAAGAACCAGGTCTCCTTCCCATGACAACTTGGATCCACCTCCGACGCTCGTCAGTCTTCTTTAAGAAGCCATGCAACGACAGCTTCTTCCGAAGATACTCAGTCTATACTGCATGCAGAGTCTACTGCTGAAGTCCGATGTGGTCTCAGGTTCCTGTGGCCCCGGAGCCTGAATGTAGACACCGCTAGCATTCCTTCCACCATCAGCAACTTGTCTTCATATCGTTCTGAACCTCGCCCAGGACTTGTCTTGCCCGACTCGCTTCCGAAAGCTCACCGTGAACGTGCAATCCTTAACAGCGACCCCAATCCTTAGCAGCGACCCAAGCCCGAGACCGCTTGCAATTTGGAATGGGCAACTGGAACCAGATGCTCTCTTCGTCAATAACCAGGCCGCTGGACCAGGCCAAAAAAGGCGAGACCTCTTTCAGATAGGCCAAGTATGCAAAGCAAAAAATTCGAGTTCTGCCATCATCTAACTAAGGATGTTTCAAGGCCCATTACTCCGAAGCCAAAGCGTTGGACGTACTCTGCAAGCAAGCGCCTAACCCTCAAGCAACCCTAAACGCAATAAAATCGTAGCTAGACTGCAGACCCTGACGTCCATAAGCTGTGAATCGAAGCTTCGATCCCGAAACCCCTATCCAAACCTCACTTTTTTTCTACAAGCCAATGATACTAATCACCTAGTCTTGAACCTTAGGATCACGAACCCTGAAGTGTTGATCGCTGATCTGCAACGAATAGGAATTATAGGTGCTAATGCCCTGCAGCCTTGCAGTAGTCCGAAAGCCATGATCCTTGCAAGTGTATGTCTCCCAGCCCGGCTACATCGTGAAAAGGCCGTGGCTTGACCAGCGGCTAGTGGCTGAAAAAACATAGACAGCCCGAACCAACGCCAAGGTTACTCTGGTTCATGAAGAAGGGTATCGGGCTTCGGGGTTTAGGATGGTTTAGGGTTATAGGAATTAGAATCGGGTTCGGAACAAGTTCCAGCAAGGTTTTTGGGGGTTTTCATCGGGCGCTCTGAAGTTGAAAGTTGAAACCTAGGGCCTTTTTTGAATTCCCCATATGGATCCTACTACTTTGGGGGTTCATAGGCCCAAGGTCCTACAAAAAAAACCACAAAAGCTAAAATGGCTTTAAAGCGGATCTCTGGGGTTGCAGTGGGTGCAAGTCTAGGGGCCTGGAGGATTCGAAGAGGGCTTTGGGACAGTTTTCTAAGGATAGCAACACCAAAACCCTACTATGCCCTGAACCCTATCCTATAGATCACAAAAACCAGATCACATAAACCCTAAACCCCTACATCAGCTATACCCTAAATCAACTGAACCCTGAACCACGACACCCTATATCAAATAAACCCTAAATCAACTAAACCCTAAACCCCGAAACCCTACATCAGATAAACCTCACCACTAAACCCTAAACCGCAGAAACTACGAGGAGATATCCTTGCGAGCTTGGGCTACCTACGTATCACCTCGAGGTTCGCAAGGTGGTGGTGGAAGCATCGCCATCGTCGTCATCGTCATCATCAACTTCTTGTTCATCATTTTCATCATCCATGGGGAAAGCCGGTTCTCTCTCATACACTTCGCCCACCCTGCTAGAATTCAGGACACGTCATGTTAGCCTACACTACAGCCATAGTCACAAAACGCGGGAGAGTCCGTTCTACATCCAATATAGGGGCCTTAGTAGTAAAAATTGGGTTTGGGGGCCCAATATATTATAACTAGAATAAGGAACCCCCCACAATAGTATAGGTAATTTTTTAGGCCCCTACAGTAGGCCTCGGCCCTCAATCGTCATGTCCGACCTCGAGCTCAAAGGGTCTAGGAACTTCAGGGTTTGGGCGGGTTAATACTACCTAGAGTCTCCATTGTAGTTCCTTTCTTTGATTAGCCAGTCTTTATGGCTGCGACCCTAACATAGAGATTTTGGCTAACCCAAGAAAGAGAACTACAATGGAGACTATAATAGGTAGGTATAGACAGTAGAGATGGTTCAAACTCATTGGCAGCAGAGCCTTGAAGCTTAGGTCTTCGAAGGCCATAAGAAAATGCCCATCCGAAGCCGAACCCTGGACCGACTATCTTGGGTTTAGGGTTTAGGGTTTAGGAGATGAGATTTATAGTTTTTTTTTTTAAGTGCAATGGGGCCTTTTATAGGGTTTAGGGTTTGGCTTGGTGAGACAGGAAGATGGGGTCTGCGGACTGCGTCATCAGCAAGTCGTCTCGCGGGGGCGCGGCCCTGGACAGGTCAGGTCTGGCTCGGACGCGTGGTTCGTAGGACAGCATGGACAAGAATACACCCTAGCTTTAAGAACTCCAACCCCTTGCTCGAATTTCCTGGAAGCACAAAGCCACTAATCTAAACCTAAATCCGCCTCGCTAGAACTTCAAGCTTTAAGCCCTGAAGCCTTCAACAGTGCCCATGAGACGTCGTGAACCTAGTGGGTAGTTCCCCAAGTGCGGCAGCTGTCATCTCGGACTTGCTGGTCGATGTAGGGCTTGGGGTTTTAGGGTAATTCGGGTATCAAATGCCCCGGTGCTGGGGCCTCTGGATTGGAGTCAGGGTTGGCTGCTTGGGTTTGGGGAGGTGGCCGCTTCAGTCTGCAGAGCACTAGTAATAGTCTTGCGATGAGTACTTAAAGGATCATGGCCCAATTGGTAGCTGGAGTTCCAAATCACTTGGTCTCCCCTGAACTGAGGCGCTGTCGATCTAATGTTAGCTGCTGGTATTTGGGCCACATTGAAACCATGAATTCGAGCCTGCTCCAAGCACTTCATTAGGTTGGCCCACGAAACCCTCTGAAAACATTCGTAAATGAGATCATCTTAAGCCCAATCAGTGGAAATGCAACATGTCCCCAAAGGCCTACCTAGTTTAGCAACATCACAGGGCTGTTGTCCTGAACGTCAGGGAAACTGATGGTTCAACTGCATATCGAATCTGGGAATTCCGCACCTTGCAGAGTCGACCTCAAGATGTCTGTGACATGGGAGTTTCCGAAAACAATGGGGTACCTTGTTTTGGGGTCCTTATAATAAGCATTCTACTATTCAGGTACTGTATTGGGGTCCCCTGTTTTCGGAAACTCCCACATAAAACAGCGAAATGAATCCGAGTCGACGGCATGGCTTCGCCAACCGTGCGGAAAGTTCAAACACTGCCGAAACTCGCAGTTGACCGGCTATGATACGAATCAATGCCGTGCTAGCTGCTAGAAGACAAAATTAAGGGAATGCGCAGTGATTGTATCCTCTTGCGTTTCTCCTTCCCGCCTGGGCCGCAACCCAACTAATGATTATGGAAATCATCTGTCCGAGTGGTTGTGGGGCTGGCTTGTATCAGGGCGCCTTCGGTAGAAGGACTGTGCAAAGAAATACACTCCTGCTGTGCATCCTAACTGCGGCATAGATGAGACGGGTGAAACACAAGCTTCTGCCGTGACATGAGTCTCGTGAATACCGCTATCTATGTGTGTGTCGTGTATGTACAAATATATATATATATATATATGTATATATATATATATATATATGCATGTATGTACGTATGTATGTGTGTATGTTGGCGAAGGCGAACGCATTCAGCACACATGGGAACCAACACTGTTCCAACAACTGAGTGTCCACGACCATGGCTTTGCCAACGATCCAACGGCAGGATTGCAGTTAGAAAGTGCTCCGAACCACTGATATGATGCTGCGTAGGCTATGGCGACGGGAGCTCATTGCAGACTACAGGGTCACAAACGAGGGAGCTTGCCTCGGGCTTCCAAGCCCAACGATTCTCTCTGTCTTCCGCTGGCTCTTTTAGCCATCGGGAGATGTCCACTGCAGTGTACTTGTAGCCTTTCTTCTCAAGCCACGCCACTTCAGCTTTCTGTGAATTCCCCAAGCCTTCTGCGTTTTGCAGCAACTGTCGTTCAGAATCTGGAAGCCACTGCAGAAATAAGCGGTACTCCTCACGGCTGTATTGCGACGACGAATCATATCGCTCCAGGCGGCTTAGATTCTTGAGGCCCGCATCGCGAGCGTCTCGGAAGCTGTCGGAGTTTCTGAATTCATACATCTTTTTGAGAAGTGTCTCTCGTTGGAGGTGTTCTTGGCCCGCCGTCTCAAAGCTTGCTACCTTGCCCTTTCCGCAGGCTCCTTCAAAGAAGTAGACTTGAAGTTCCGCATGGTGTTTGACGGCAGTTTCCACATTCTGTATCCACAAGGCCCACCAGCGGCAACCCCAGCGCTTCCTCTCTCCATACAGAGGCTGACACCAGCAGCAGCCGTCTATCCCTTCATGTGCGGGAATGGAGCTATGCTTCCCAAAGTTCTTGGTGCCCGGAGGCAAGAAGACCACAGCCGCACTCGTCTGACCAGCCCGGGCGCTGGCCACCATGTGATCCCAGGCAGTCACATACTTTCCAGGCCAGGAAACCACGCAAGCTTTGCGAGGCCTCAGAAGCACGCAGCGTGTCGATATACATGGCATGGCTCCTACTGATGATGCTCTTATACGGGGTCGCACATGCATAAACCTTAGGGCAGCAGATGGGCTCGTGACTCACAGTACCCTCGAACGTGATGGTCTTGTTGAGGGTATTGTGCAGAGCCATTTCTTCCAACTTCTCACGCATGTCTCCAGGGACAAGTAAGAAGCGCGCGTAGATGCCGACAAAGGGGCTGAACCCAAAAGATACCGGAACTGCAACGCCCGCCCAGTAGGCCACAACGATCACCAAACACGCAAGAAGTGACAGCAAATACACTGTCATCACTCCTGTGAAGGTTCTGCCGAGCTTGGTCAAATAGATGAAGAAGGCCAGCAGTGAGATGCCAAGGGCAATTGCAGAGTCCCGGAACACATCCCAGAAAGGTCGGAATTCGAAACTCGGACGAAGTATCGACCTGAGAATTATGTAGCCAGAAAAGCCGACTGCACCGAAGGCTACCGAGTACCGGGAGTGTAGATGACGTGCGATCCATCCTGCCGCGACTCCGTTTGCGCATACCGCTAGCAGATCTGCTTGAAAATGAATATAAGCAGCAGTGCATCCATAATTGAATATGAATGATGCGCAACCAAACCCAGCAGATAGCTCTGCCCGCCATGATGGGAAAAGACGGTCCGTACATGAGATGCAGAAAAACAGCGCGCCACTACCAACTGCAGCTGCAGCATACTGGCATGCCTCCCAGAACGGTCGAAATAAAAGTTTGGTATCATGCAGGTCACGTTGCGTCGAAACCAGTGCATTTAGCAAAACCACAAAGGCCGTCAGGTGTCCGAGCATCACTGCCCAAAATACAAATTCCCGGCGTTGGTCTGCTCTCACCTTCAGAAACTGTAGACTGTCCCTGCGCCGTGCCTCCTCTGTTTAACAGTAGCTGGGCTCTTGTTAAGGGAAATAAACTTCAGTTGTTATGAACTATGGTACGTAAATAATATGGTTTCCTTATTATGGTAACTTAATTTTAATCCTCTAACAAGAACCCAGATAAGCTTGAGATTCGGGAATTCCCGGTGTCTAGGCTCGACGATAGATGCAGCGACCCATGCTTAATTGAAAGTCTGGCTTTGTAGGTGTGAAGGGGTTGTGATGGTCCCGTAGTCGCCTCGCCGGTGCCGATGTAAAAATTTGTTCATTCGGCTTACTAACCTGCATTCTGCTTCAACATGCAGGGTGGATTGAAATCTTAGCTCAACAGAATCTTTCTGTGGATGCAACTCTGAAAGCTTTCACCGTAAATCCTAATCACACCATGTCCTCTCTTTCGTTTCGAACTGCATCTTCCTCATCCTCCAGCCATTTCTTGCACCTCGTCGAGAAGTCTTCAATCTCTGAGGCCCTCACCTGGGCCAACTGGCAATTGAGGGCTTAGGACTTACCTGAGGTCGAAGGCTTGGAAGAGACCTAAAGCTGAGAAGGAATCTACCTTTCAGGCAGAGTCCTGGGGCTTAGACCGTCTTCGGTTTGACAGAAGCCTAGTATGGGCTTAATGTAGGGCCCTTAATAATTAGAATAGGGCTCTGGGGGTTCCTTACTATACTTCCTGTATAACATACCCCCCAAATCCTTTTCTAAGTTTCAGGGCCCCTACATTAGGGTTCAGGGTCTACGAGTCGAGCTTCAATCTCTAGGAGCACACTTCAGTGGTCGCGCGCAGCTGAGTACCAGCGTGAGCTCGTGCCGGTGATGACCCATGAGGATGAGCAGGAGACTGAGGCTGATGATGATGATTATGAACTAGTTGGGGCTTTCAAAGCCTTTGAAAAATATTAGTAAATAAGATCCTCTTAAGCCCAATAAGGGAACATGTAAAATGTCCCAAAGCCCTACCTAGTGAAGGTGATGTTGGCTGGTGATGATGACGACAACGACGAGGAGGACAGCATGGCTGGAATGTGCGCGGCCAACCTGCAGCGAGGCATGGTGAAGCAACGCCCCTCCAAGCGGTGTGACAAAGAAGGGTCTCGCTCTCAGCCCTAAGACCTTAACCCCCTAAATCCCTAAACCCGATGCCTTTGCAACGAGAAAACGAGACTCAGTGCATGGTAACTATCACGGGTATTTTTCTAAAAGTAACTGATGATCGCAAAAGTACTAGTAATACCTTCTAGTCAGAACAAAGATGAGAACATAAAAGGTAATAAAGAGGCATGAAAACAATGATAACAAGAGCATCAGCAACAGTCATCATAACAACAAAAAAGTGACAATGAAAATGGTCTGCCTCGAGGTCGTGGCTCACGCAACTTGCGGTCGTCCTGATGGTCGGATCTTCACGCAAGCGGATTTCGAAGTCTGTGGCCACCTGCATTGGCTCTTAGGAAGCAAGGTGTTCTCATGGTTAGCTTGCCTTATGGGCCATTGGTCTTTCGAAAGCCTTTACAAGCTCTGAAGAGCATGGAGCCGTTGAGCTGTTCTTAGTTTCGGAAGTTGACAAGAGATGCCTGGCACGAAGCTTCTGGATAGAGGACGTTCCATCTGCCCTCCGAGTACACCTCGGCTGTGCAAGAGATCCCCTTGCAGATGGCATATTGCGGGCCCCAAAACCCCATTATTGAGGCCCCTAAATTATTAGAACCTAGAACCCCTAAACTCAAATTTCCCAAGTTTCAGACATTAGCTAAGGGACGAAGATACAGCAAAATACTAGCCTAAATACGTGCCCTTCTTCGTATTAAAAGGTCAAGATCACCCTGAATATAAGGACCCCTAGATCAAGTACCCCTCTTGCTAGAGACCCCCAGCGGTCCGAAAGTTGAGAGAAGGCTATTGACCCGATGACTAATTATCCGTGATGTCCCTCGCACTAGGACGGCCTGCCCAGCAACATAGAGGCCTTAACAATGCTAGTAATTACTGTAGTACCTAGGCACTGCACGGAGATATTCTTGCCAACTGTTCAGACCTCTATCTTAGTGGCCACTGGCTTTCCAACAAGAGCAAAGTGGTTCCGAAATGAATTTGAGACGCTTCCACGGCGGCAGCCAGGTCATTTACCACAGTTCGCCGCTCGGTTTCAGGACTCAGCTCTTTGCCGGAGCTTTGCTGAGATGCCTCGTCCATGGGCGCCTGGCCTGGATCCTTCACATCCGGCCGGGAAAACAAGGCTTCGGTCTGTTTAATTTGGGCTTAGGGGTTTAGGCTTCGGGATTTGGGGTTTTAGGCATAGGGTTTAAAAGCTCGATGTGACCTCTGTGGCGTCCTGGACTTTGGATACTTGTCGCTGCCGCTGGGTATGGACCCTTGAGAAGCAGGTTCTGCACACATACACGGGGATGACATGGGCTCCCAAATCTGCAAAAATACATAGTGGTGATGTTGTGGTGCAAAACGCGAACCCCTACACTTTAACAAACATCGCGAATTCGCGCCGTCGACTGCTTCCGTATTGACATGTCTGACCTGTTCGCCTGTCAGGCCACTAATCTAAACCTAAATCCGCCTCGCTTAAACTTAAAACTTTAGACCCTGAAGCCCTCAACAGTGCCCATGAGACTTCGTGAACCTAGTGCGTAGTTCCCCAAGTGCAGCAGCTGTAAAGCCATCTCGGACTTGCTGGTCGATGTAGGGCTTTGTTTTTAGGGTAATTCGGGTATCGAGTCCCCCCGGGCTGGGGCCTCTGGATGAGGGCTTGCCGCCTTCTAGATGATACGGGCCAAACATTTCAAACTCTTCAAGGAACTACATACACAAGTCATACTACTGTTGATGATATAGATCCTGCATTGCCCACAATAAGGACTATACCATCATTCCCATAGTTTAGGGTCCTTAAGGTAATGCAGGATTTATATCATCAAGTGTATGGAACACAAAGGTAAGGCTTGTGGGCAAGAGGCAAGAGGTCGAGCTTTAGGACGTCAGGGCTGAAGGATCTGACTTTATGGAGTCAGCGTTGGCGGCTTAGGTTTGGGGAGGTAGCCGCTTCAGTCTGCAGAGCACTAGTACTAGTCTTGCGATGAGTACTTAAAGGATCATGGCCCAATTCGTAGCTAGGGCTCCAAACAAGGCAACCATTCTTATGACTACCCATGTCCCCCCAGTTGAGGTACTGATAGCCTACCTCACTAAGTCCCCTGATCCTCCAAGTAGGAATAGGATCGAGACCTATCACTTGGGTGGTTGTCAAAATATGGCTCCCTTTTGGGTACCCTAAACAATAAGTGCCGTGTTTTTTTCAGGGACCCAAAAAGGGACCGATTTTCACAACCGGTCTCCCCTGAACTGAGGCACTGTCGATCTAATGCTAGCTGCTGGTATTTCAGCCACGTTGAGGCCATGAGTTCCCACCTTCTCCAAGCACTTCATTAGGTTGGCCTTTTGAACCCTTTGAAAACCTTCGTAAATGAGATCATCCTACGCCCAATAAGGGGAAAATGTAACATGCCCGAAAGGCCTACCTAGTTTAGCAACATGACAGCACGTCGTCCTAGGCTGTTGGCCAGAGCGTCAGGAAACCTGACGGGTCAAATGCATATCGAACCTGCAAACAAAGGAGGACTGCTTCCGCTGATCTCATTCTGCACCTTGCCAAGTCGAACTCAAGATGTCTGGGATATAAAACAGCGAAATGAATCCGAGTCGACGGCATGGCTTCGCCATCCGTGCGGGAAGTTCAAACACTGCCGAAACTCGCTGTTGACTGGCTATGATACGAATCAACGCCGTGCTAGACAACGGGAACACGCAGTGATTGTATCCTCTTGCACTTCTCCTTCCTGCCTGGGCAGCAACTGAACTAGTGATTATGGAAGCCATCTGTCCGAGTGGTTGTTGAGCTGTCTTTGATAAGGGCGCCTTTGGTAGAAGGAGCCATGCTAAGAAATACACTGCTGCTGTGCATCTGAACTGCGGCATAGGTGGGACCGGTTAAACACAAGGTTCTGCCGTGGCATGAGTCTCGTGAATACCGCTACTCATGTGTGTGTGTGTGTGTGTATGTATATATGTATGTCTATATATTCATATGTATATGTATATGTATGTACGCATACGTACAAATACTCATACAGCTGTGTATACACGTTCGCATCATGTATTTAAATGTATGTATGTATGTATGTATGTATGTGTGTATGCACATGTATATATACATATACATATACATACACATATACATGTACATGGGCATGTACATGCATACATACATACACACATTTATCTATATATCCGTATATACATATATACCGTACACATATACATATATACATATATACATACATATATATATATATATATACATACATATATACATATACATGTACATATATATATATATATATATACATATGTACATGTACATACACATATAAAGGTATATTATACGTACACATACTCAAACACTTGTGTATACAATTACATACATATGTATATACTATGTATATATATATATATGTATGCATGTATATATACATATATGTACATATATATATGTATGCATGCATGTGTGTATGTATGTACGTATGTTGGCGAACGCGAACGCATCCAACAACTGAGTGTCCAAGACCATGGCTTTGCCAGTGGTCCAAGAGCAGGATTGCAGGTACGAAGTGCTCTGAACCACAGATGGTGTTGCATCGGCTATGGCATGGGAAGCTCATTGCAGACTACAGGGTGACAAACGAGAGAGCTTGCCTCGGGCTTCCAAGCCCAACGATTCTCTCTGTCTTCCGCTGGCTGTTTTAGCCATCGGGAGATGTCCGATGCAGTGTACTTGTAGCCTTTCTTCTCAAGCCACGCCACCTCAGCTTTCTGTGAATTCCCCAAGCCTTCTGAGTCTTGCAGAAACTGCCGCTCAGAATCTGGAAGCCACTGCAGGAATAAGCGATCCTTCTCACGGCTGTATTGCGACGAGGAGTCATAGCGCTCCAGGCTGCTTAGCTTATTGAGACCCGCATCCATGGCGTCTCGGTAGCTGTCGGAGCCTTCGAAGTCATGCATCTTTTTGCGCAGTGTCTCTCGTCGGAGGTGTTCTTGGCCCGCGGTCTCAAAGCTGGCCACCTTGCCCTTTCCGCAGGCTCCTTCAAAGAAGTAGACCTGGAGTTCCGCACGGTGCTTATAACGGCAGTTTCCACGTTCTGTATCCACAAGGCCCACCAGCGGCAACCCCAGCGCTTCTTCTCTCCATACAGAGGCTGACACCAGCAGCGGCCGTCTATCCCTTCATGCGCAGGAATAGGGCTGTGCTTCCCTTGGTGCCCGGAGGCAAGAAGACCACCGCCGCGCTCGTCTGACCAGCCCGGGCGCTAGCGACGAGGTGATCCCAGGCAGTCGCATACTTGCCAGGCCAGGAAACCACACAGGCTTTGCCGGGCCTCAAAGCACGCAGTTTCCATTCAACACGAGACTAGTTTTACAGAACCTGGGATCATTCTAAAGTTCTAAAGTACATGGCATGGCTCGATCCTTCTGCATGATGCTGTTTTACCGGGTCGCACATGAGTAAAACTTAAGGCAGCAGATTGGCTCGTGACTCACAGTACCCTCGAACGTGATGGTCTTGTTGAGAGTATTGCGCCGAGCCATTGCTTCCAACTCTTCACGGAAGTCTCCAGGGAAAAGTGCGTTCCTCGTGAGGATGCCGACCATCGGGCTCCACCCAATAGATACCCTTACAGCAGCGCCCGCGAAGTAGGCCACGACGATCACCAACAACACAAGCAATGACAGAAAACTCAGCGCCACACTTCCTGTTATGGTGCTGCCGAGCTCGGTCCAAGAGATGAAGCAGGTTAGCACTGAGATACCAAGGGCAACTGCAGAATCCCGAACCGCATCCCAGAAAGGTCGGAATACAGAAGGTTCGGGAATTATCGATATGTACACGATGTAGCCGCAGAAGGCGATTGCAACCAAGGCTGTCCAGTACCGGGAGTGTAGATGACGTGTGATCCATCCCACCGTGACTCCACTTGCGCAAACCGACGGCAGCTCTTCTTGAAAATGAAAAGAAGCAGCAGCACACCCACAAAAGAATATGCATGACGCACAACCAAACCCAGCAGATAGCTCTGCCCGCCATGATGGGAAAAGACGGTCCGTACATGAGATGCAGAAAAACAGTGCACAACTACCAAGTGCAGCTGCAGCATACTGGCATGCCTCCAAGAACGATCGATGTACAGGTTCGGTATCAACCAGGTCACGTGTAGTTATCAAAACCGTAAAGGCTGCATAGTGTCCGACGATCACGGCCCAAAACACAAACGCCTGACGCTGGTCTGCTTTCACTTTGTGGCGCTGTAGACTCACCCTGTGCCATTCCTCCTGTGTTAAAGAAGAAAGCTCAGACTCGGGAATTGTCGGTGTCTAGGCTTGACAGTAGATGCAGCGACGCAAGCTTCTTTGAAAGTCTGGCTTTGAAAGTGTGAAAGGGGTTGTGATGGCTCGTGGTCGCCTTGCCAGCGCCGAAGCAAAAAGCTGTTCGCCCTACCAACCTGCATGCTGCTTCAACATGCAGGGTGGCCTTGAAGTCCTACTCAGCAGCCCTGTTTCTGAATCTCAACAGAAGCTTTCTGTGGATGCATGATTGGATGCAACTCCGAAAGTAGCCTCTACCGCAAACCCTAATCACGCCATTTCCTCTGCTTCGTTTCGAACTGCATCTTGCTCATCCTCCAGCCATTTCTTGCACCTCGTCGAGAAGTCTTCAATCTCTGAGGCCCTCACCTGGGCAAACTGGCAATTGAGGGATCAGGACTTACCTGAGGTTTAAGGCTCGGAAGAGATCTAGAGCTGAAAAGGAATCTACGTTTCAGCCAGAGTCCTGGGGCTTAGACCGTCTTCGGTCTGACAGAAGCCGAGTATGGGCGTGATGTAGGGGCCTTAATAATTAGAATAGGGCTCTGGGGGGTTCCTTACTATAATTACAGTATAACATACGCCCCAAATCCAGTTCTAAGTTTTAAGGCCCCTACATTAGGGTTCGGGGTTTACGAGTTGAGCTTCAATCTCTAGGAGCACACTTCATTGGTCGCGCGCAGCTGAGTACCAGCGTGCCGGTGATGACCCATGAGGATGAGGATGAGCAGGAGACTGAGGCTGCTGATGATGATTATGAATTA